CACAACACAACACTACACTACACTACACTACACTACACTACACTACACTACACTACACTACACTACACTACACTACACTTGATAAGTAAACTCACTACACAACACCAATAGACTCACTACACTGCAAGACTAGTACACTCACTACACTAGAGTAGTTTATCCTTGTGATATCCTAAAGAGACGAAGAAATCGAAATGGAATTGCCATAGTTGGGGTGCATGGGGTTTAAATTGGGATTAAAATGGGTCTACCACACTCCACGGGGTGCATTAGGGATTTATGGGGAACTTATGATTCATCCCTATTTTTAGAACGGTAGGACTCTGAGTCAATGACGTTATATCATTTCTTGTTCAATATATTCAGAAAAAARCGAGCACTTATGTTTAATTTCTTGAGATCCTTGTTGAAGAAGATGGCAACCCTCGAGAAAATTAGGGAAGAGATGAAAATGGATATTTTTGACTATGAGGATTATATCCAAGCGGGGACATGCTTGAAGTCTTTMAAAACACTTTATTGAGGAYATTATGAAGAAAMYTSAAAATACTAAGATGAAGGCAGCTCCCAAAGATGGACTCRCAAACTTGATGAGGATGATGAAACTTTTACAGTGATTATATGGCATGTTCAATAAAGATTGATTATTGTCAACCCGTAATGAGAGAGTTAAGAAAAAGGCCAAATAATTGATGATGTATCATATTGGTATTTGACSTCATGTCTATTTTAAGCGTTCAAAAGTATTTTATTGTATCTTTTAAGAAAACGTTTGAAGATCAGAYTCTTGTGAGCTTCATTCAGTATGGATCCCTTTACATATATGAAGTAAATCCTCATTTCGACCTATGCTGTGGAGGTCTGAAAACACCTATGTGAACTTGTTATGAGACATTGCTGTGGATGTAGGAATGCTGTCAGAGGCGACGACTGTTTAACCCTCACAGAAGATGAAAAGATTGAACTTGACTTTAATGAAGCCCTCCAAAAGGTTGACAGACAGAAATTGATTTTAAAATAGAGTTACAATGGGGGTGCTGTTGTTTTTTAGTTGATGACATCAAATTTTGCAGATTTTGCTAATTTTTTTCTCTGACATCATCAAATCTATTCTATAAAACCAACATCACACTGAACTGTAAGCTATTCAAATGTTGTTAACCATCCTTCTACTCATCTACTGTTTGTATCGAGACGTTTTTGATGGCCCACTCTGGAATATCGAAGATAGACTTGACGGTGTTGGTCAAAGCAACAACAACCAGAAAGATGGAAAGAAACCTCTCAACTTAGTGGTTGATGAAGCCGAATTTTTTGGRCACATTAAAGTCAGGCAAGCATAGCGATTCCTATTTTCTGAAATCAGCTTCAGAGCAGCATTCAAGAATTTTGTATGTGAAGGGTGTGTCACGAATGACCAAGCCAAAGAGATCATGAATGTTGCATGAAAAGTGAATGGTACATATTCCTTGTCAGCTTTAACGATTATGTAAAGAAAGAAGTGGATATGAATTTAATGGAAGATTGTTTGGAACACTGATTTCAATGTCCTTGCAGATGCACAGTTTTATTGAAAATCTACCTCAAGCGTCAGTAGAAACAGTTTACCTAAATCGAAAAGAATTCAGAGTGGATAAATAGAGTGAAGAGAAGAAAAGACTCGTACAATGTGTAGACATGATGTGTGACACCCTTCTAGGGGGAAAACCATTTGACCTTTGCATGTTAGCAACAGCCTTCATGGGGTGGTTTGATATTGGACGAGAACAGCGTCCATGTCAACCAGAAAGAGTCCATGGTTGTTTGAAAATAATTGAAACACTAATGGAAGTGAAAGATGGGAAATTTGAGAAGGAAAGAAAAAGCACATGTTAAAACCAAAAAAAAAAAAAAAAAAAAAAATTGAAAGAAAAACAAAAGAGAGAGAGGGGAAAAAATACTTATAAAAAAACTAATTGCCATAAGTAGAACTTTGTTGTAAGTGATTGTTTTATAACAATAAAATTAGAGTTATTAAGTGAATTGAATCATTAGTGTGTTTGCTTTCAAGGGGTGAAGAGATGGATTGTTTGCGCTCCTACCCARCATGACAGTCCTCTTTTTATGAAAGCTTTTAACTTTTAACAACATTACCAACATAATCTTGGGAACTGACAATGTATTGGTTTATTTTRTAATAATTTTGTACAAATTCTCACTT